CAATCAAAATGCCACTAGGGTTCTGAATGGAAGTCAAAGGCGGGGCGCATTCCTCAGTCTGGATTGATTAACGCTTTTTCACGATCGTAAAGATGTTACTATTAACAGCTCTTACTGCTATAATTTAGGCATTTCTCACTCATTGGGCAGGGAGGGTCTGTAAGAAGGAGGGTAGGCAAAAATGGGCCGTTTAAAACTGTGTAAACAAAGTACTTGGCAAGATTTCAATAGCTCTGGTAAAGGCTATACTGTTACATAACTTTGGTATCCTGACCAGTCTTCGCAGAAGATTCTTATCTGAAGCTTATGGGGTAAAACTCTGCTCAGCGTTCCACCATCGCAGCATCAGCATGTTCCTTCAAACAAAACGGCGAGTTCATTTAAAAAGAGCAGCTGACTTCTTGTGAAATGAATATGTGGATCAATGTGAACAAAAATGGCTAAAAAGTGTCAGCCCTAGAACTCACACAACAGAACACCCCCTACTCGAAGACTATTTTTTTCCTAAAGGCATTTGCTAGTCTCACCAAAAGTAGAGTATAAAAGGAAAATTTGATATTTGTAAATGCCCTCTCCTGCTATGTCATATTGTTATTAACATAGAACGTAGAGAGTTTGAGATTTAGGCAGTCCAAACTGGAGGTTATCTTGCTATCAAACTCGTCATCTATCCAGTTGACGTTCGGAAATCCCTGGTCTCTCGTCAACAGAACAACTGCTAAGCTCCCAGCTCAGGGTCTTGTATGCATCTGTAAACTAAATAGGAGCTAAATAACGTACACAACAAACATAGTAAACAATAGAATGTTAGCAACAAACAACTCTCCTATATTTTTCAGCCATCTGGTATATGAAATAGTCTCAGATGGGGATCCAAGAACTACATTATTCAAAAAATGTTTGAAAAATTGACAAAGGACACCTGACATGTGCGCCTAGACGATGTCGTGGGCTTCTCAAATCAACTAACCAGCTCTTAGCCACCCTGGCTGGTAGAAGTAAGGGTTCTTTTCTAGATACACGTACAAATCGTGCAAAATGCTACAATTTTCCCTCAATATCGGCACCGCAGTTTTTCCCCCTCAAATTGGCATTTGTCACATTACCTGTTGGATTCAGTTTCGTCAAGGGGACTCAAGAAACACGCTTGACAAGCTCAACTGAGTCTTTTGGTGCTGCATTGTCGAAAGTCGGGATGAATTATTGAAAACCGTACACATTTCCCTTTGTCCACCCTGAGAACACCATTTCCTACGTCGGAAACTTTTCTAAAAAGTTGTCCGTTGTAAGAGATTATTGAAAAACGCGAAATTTCATTGTTAACTAGTAACTGGAAGGTAATGCCTTGGTTGTAGGCTTCGAACCTCAACAGGGAGTTAAATGTCATCTGGAGGTCTTCCTCTAAAAATCCAGCCAGCCTATGCGAAATCCGGTTGGAACAGATCAATTTTATCTATTTACCACTTACTTTTAGGCAAACAACTATAACCTAGTTGTGAAGACTTTTAGGCAAACCACTATAACCTAGTTGTGAAGGGCAACAAAGCATGGAACAGTCGGAAGGCGCTACAAGATGAAAACCACTTCGCCATTTCCTCCTCGTTAATCAAGGTCAATTAATTGAGAAGGTTGGAGTATATTTATAGGTTACTGAAATGGCCACACTGTAGGCCCTAATAAATTGTTCTTCTAGACTGTAGGCCCCCTAGTAGGTCTGGCTTAGCTTTGTGTGGATCTGCTGTGGCCTTTCATTGAGTCCACCCCTTCCATCAATTCAGATGAGAGTATTCCGAGGAAAAATCAGGTGCTCAGTGTGTAAGATATCTGCAGAAGGTGTTGAAACGGCCTGTGCCGATTGCCTTTTACACTCCGATTTATTCGATGAAAGTAAACGACAAAATTCGACCGCTTCGTTTTCGTGGTAGTATCGGCTGTTACAGGGGAAACTGGTAAAATAATTTGGAGGAGTATCATTTATGAATTTGTTTTATTACCTCACACATCGCCTATTTCTTTTGCCTTACCGAAGACGAAACTTTATTGCAGAAGCTTCTCCTGTAATCATATTTCAATTAGATAGCCCATTGTTGCCTACCCAGCGTAATGAATAGAGATTTATTTAAAACGGGATTTATTCTGCAGCGTTCCCTGATTTACCGTGACAACAGCTGTGCAACAAGATTAACGAGAAATGTTTGCCTTCAAAAAAAAAGTCGTTTGTTCTCTGTTTCCAATAAAAATCAATAACAGATATAACCAAATTGTAAGTAAAAGATCGATGTACGAAGATGTATATTTGTTGATAGTAGAAGTTTTTGAGAAATATTTAAAAGTTCTACAGTAATAGTGAACACCTGGTTACGCTTTTAACTTGTCCCTCAACGTTTCTTCATGAAGTTGAGGGGGCTGGCCTGTTGGCAACAAAACGTTCGTTCAAGGCAGATTAACCGTCGGCTGACCTTGGAGGGTTTTAATTAACCTCCGTGGAGCACAATCAATCACTGTGGAAGTTTACCACAAGTAACAAGTAAGTGTTGCATACTTTCTACGAGGAGTTGATATAAAAGTTAACCAGTTACTCTAAACACTCATCCTAAATTCATTAAGTGTCTGAGTCATAAAACTATTCTGTTATGAATTTAAATAAAAAAATTATTGGCACTGGATATGAACCATGCTCAGGAAGAAATTAGGTCTGATCAGCGTCTTTCAGAATGTGCAAGAACTCAATACCCATTTAGAATTGAAGAGGCATTTGAATGCATGAGTCATTAGCGTTTGAATGACTATTTATGCCCGAGAATGGGACCCAAACAATATTTTTTTCTTCTCACAAAGTAATCGCATACCAATTAGTCAACGCTGGAAGCGAATGGATTTTAGGGCAGGCGGCGTTCGAACATATCCAAAGCGTGATTCCATTAACTTCCCATCATCGCTGGAATGACTTTTGTTCCCTCCTGCCTGTTTCCAAGAAGAACCTGGGCCTCTGGAGTCAGGTACGCACCCAAGGGCAGTCAATTGTAGGTAAGTAGGTTGCCAATGTAACAAGCTTCCTTTTTACAACATCTAACCATGAACAGACGAGTAGTACTGTAGAACTGATTATTGGATCTGCGAGTGGTGAGATTAAAGGCACTGTTAACAAAAAAGTAAGGGTACCCTTTTTTTGACGGGAATAGATAGAACTACTCTAGAATAAAGCGATAACAACGAAAAAGCGCAAATAAACGAGGAACAAAAAGAATTACAAAGGGACAAAAAAAGAGCTGGAAAGAGGGGGTGGACGAATTTCACATTGAAAAAACTGCGGTTAAGGAGTGTTCGAGCGAGAATGCACGAAGGCGGTGCAATGTCTGCAATACAGACAACACATTGAAATTGACGGAGTTTCTAAAATAAAAAAAATTTGCATGCAATAATCTACCCAAAATATGTTAAAATCTTCAATAAACTTACGAGAATAGTTGAAGAAAGCTACCGTGAAAAATTCATAACAAAAAAACAATAGAAATAACAAACATAAAATAGAAATAACAGCCGAATACTAGCTCCTGTACGAGGCGGTCGACCAGCTGATGATTCCTGGCAATTTGCCAATCAGCGTATCGATTTTTCACCAACTTCGCTCCAGTGCGAATGTGGTGAAGGACAACTTGAACACGTAGTCAGCCTAACGAGGGGCGGTGGCCTCCCGTCCCCCACTGTTCCTGGCCTTATTGTGCCCTATCCAGCCGTTTTCCGACCTAATTCCTGCACAAATGTTATCAGAGGGGGCTTAGAATTCTAACCATGTGCATATCTTCGAAACCATTTATTCGTTAACAGTGCCTTTAAGNAAAAAATTTGCATGCAATAATCTACCCAAAATATGTTAAAATCTTCAATAAACTTACGAGAATAGTTGAAGAAAGCTACCGTGAAAAATTCATAACAAAAAAACAATAGAAATAACAAACATAAAATAGAAATAACAGCCGAATACTAGCTCCTGTACGAGGCGGTCGACCAGCTGATGATTCCTGGCAATTTGCCAATCAGCGTATCGATTTTTCACCAACTTCGCTCCAGTGCGAATGTGGTGAAGGACAACTTGAACACGTAGTCAGCCTAACGAGGGGCGGTGGCCTCCCGTCCCCCACTGTTCCTGGCCTTATTGTGCCCTATCCAGCCGTTTTCCGACCTAATTCCTGCACAAATGTTATCAGAGGGGGCTTAGAATTCTAACCATGTGTATGTCTTCGAAACCATTTATTCGTTAACAGTGCCGTTAATTCGGGACCGTTGAAGCGACGATATGCCAGCACATTCATAACCAAACAGTACTATAAGTATTTATTATAAACTCATCTCTTTTCAGACATTACTTAAGGGTTGGTTATTTGTAATAGTTCGTAGTAATGTAGTTGTACGAACAAATAAAGCTATGCTTTATTGCTATCACATCGGTAACAATACAACAGTAATGATCACATAATAAAGGGTGTTTAAGTGGTTATGAATAAGTGTTATGTCGTCCCGTTAAACATTGTCTTCTATCTATCTATACAAAACCTAATAATTGTCGTGAAAGTAAGTAGGTAGATGGACAAGTCTCTGATTATCTAAAGATCAACCGTAATTATTGTTCGTTTTGAGAGCGATCAATGTAAGTTGGGCTTGTTCTTCAGGGCTAGACATCCCCCTTGATGCGTCCATTTGATAAAAAAGTATACATATACATATAGGGAGGAAGGCTAGGAAAATGGGCACTGCATTGTTGATTAATCTAAGTAAACATGCGGATGCAACTTCGAACAAACTCATCACAGGAACGAAAATCAAATGTAAAACAAAAGAGACAAGTAGTAATCCAACCGGCTTACAGAAAAGAAGAAGTGTGTAGATAGAAGAGAAGTAAAGTAAAGTACAAAGGCAGCACTGCAACGGCGATTCTTAAGAAGAAACAGATGAGGCCAGCTCTAAAATGGCTTTTGAACTACCTCAGTAAACAATGAAGTTCATCTACGACCAGACAGTACGACTGCAAGGATAATAGCGGCCACAATGATGAGAAGGATCAGTATCACAACACACAACGCCACCATAATCTGAAAAAAAATTCCGGTTTATTGATCTGTAGACCTATAACTTTCAAACTAGTGAAAAATTGATTTTATAATGTCAGTGCGGAGACTTTTACGATTCCCATCAACTCAGAGTCCAATGAGTTGCCATCCATTGAACTTAAGGGGATTCATATTTGCATGAACAGCTCGGCTCAAAACGAGGACGAGATCCCAGTTATCTTGCTGAACCGATGCTCGGACGGAATTAATGCTAAAGAGCCGATGCTATGGAATGAAGAATCCTCTATGGCTTGGTAAGGGGTGTGGTGCAGTAGGAACGAAACTGCCGCGTGGCGGCAAGAGAGTCGTCGCGCGCGAAAGAATGTAGTACACTGCAACAGCAAGTAAGAAAAACAGGAACAAAGGAAATAACAGTAGAATATGCCTAAAGTAATAATCGCATGACGATTGAGCTGTGTGAAGAACGCTACGACTATTATAACGATGCAAAAGGTCCGCGACAGCCGCGTGCGGCGGATCGATTACACAGAACCGTTCCTACTGCCCGTCTCCCCTTGGTAAGTACTGCTACCACGACTCTGTGATCCTAAAAGGAGCTAGCCCAATTGGGAAACAGGTTGCAAAAATTTGTTGTAAAAAGCCACATAATTGCATCAGTGGGTCCGTCCCACGCGAAATAGATATATGATATTCTCACCAAACAAAAGTAATGCTGCCAAATGAGCTATTCGAATTTGGCTAAAATTTCATATATCCATTACTGGTAAATGAACTATTTATTCACTTCTGACAAAAGAGCTGCACTTGCTTCAAAAAAATAACCTCCATGTGTAACGTGAACAGGCCACGAACTTCTCAGAGATTTGCCGAATTGAATGTATGCGATGGATTTTTGTTGGGAAAAAAGAAAGGAAAGAATGGTTTTCTTTTCAGGTTTGTTATAAAATGCATCAGTTTCTTACCAGGGAGGGGTAGTCTACTTATCTTGGAACTTTGAATTCAAACCCAGATAATTCGATGGAGTTTTGAATACTGTTTACGAAAAAGGAAATTAAAACTGCAAAATGGTTCTCCTTAAAAAGTTATGGGGGTCCGAATTTTGCTCGGCAGTAGTACCAATTGGAAATGCGAACTCGTCGCTTCCATGTCAAACGCCCACGTGACCTAGTGGTAGTGGTCTCGCTTCGCGGGGGTAAAATGAGGGGTCCCTCCCCGCCACTATCAGCACTTTTGCAAAGTGTTTTTTCATTTTATCAAAGGCTCTCTAAACGTTTTCTGACATTTCTTTAGACAATTGATACTACTGTTGAGCAAAATTCGGGCCCACATAAATTTTTAAGGAGAATCATTTTGCAGTTTTAATTTCCATTTTCGTAGACAGCCTTCAAAACTCTATCGATTTATCTGGATCTGAATTCAAAGTTCCAAGATAAGTAGACTACCCCTCCCTGGTTAGAGATTAACGGGGAAATTTTTTTGAATCGCCCTTGGACCAAAGCCGACCTTTTTCCTTGTGGCACTCTTCTTGTACTCCAGTCCGACTTTGACATTTCGTGCTCCCTCTTCCACATGAACCTTCGTAGTGTCCACGTTGCGTTCAATGTTATCAACAATATCACCCTGAAATGAAAAGCTCATAAATTTTTCAGGGGACGAATCCCAAAATTTCCACATTTTTGAAACTCTTTGTCTTGAAATCTTTGCCTGAGAAACCGAGTAATACAAATCTGTGATGGTAAGTGGCATCACATGGCCTTTGTACGGGTGTGGTGCAGTAGGAACGAAATTGTCGCGTCGCGGCGAGAGACGTCGCGCGCGAAGGAATGTAGCAGAATGCAGCAGCAATAAGAAATACATGAACAAAAGAAATAACAGTAGAATCATGCCACAAGTAATAAGCCCGTATGAGGAGCGCTAGAACTGTTATAATGAGGGCAAATAGTCCACGACGGATCGATTACACGAAACCCTTCCTACCGCCCGTTTCCCCCTTTGTACTGGTATATTCGCAAAATTATCTCGAACCTTCAAATGGCTTTCTTTTTTGAAACTTCAGTTCTTGTCTTCACTTCGTACAAAAAATTCCTCAAAGGATGTACCCAATGTTTTTATTTATTCCTATGGTAAGACACAGCAAAGCCAAAATTGATTTATCGATTTCACTGGGTTTACTACTGACTGCTCTCTTATTCAAAACTCGTTTTTCACTATGAGCTTGAAGTTTTAATACTTCATCTAGCTGGGTTACTGAGACACCCTTTAAGCTCCTTCAAGTACTCAGAAAGAACCTCTTAATGAAAAATTCTTAGACAGGAAGTGAGCATGTTTAAGTTCACCTCGCTTACCGCTCAGCTATGGAGGACGGAACTTTCGTGCGATTCGAACTGTGCGCGGCGGAATTCGCGGCGATTCGAACGACTCTGACGCCGACTATTAGGGGAGAAACTTGAAGTAGAGTACATTAAAAGGATCAGCTGACCATGCCCATCTACTCTACTCCAAGTTTGTGCCCCAATTATAGGCGCCAGAGTCGTTTCAATCGCCACAAATTTCGCCGCACAGTTTGCCGCGCGCGGTCCGAATTGCACGAATGTAGCTATACCCCTGAGCTATTGAGTAAACAAGTACATTGCATTTGGTAATGTATTCTTGATGTTTTCTGCGAGTTTTGCAATTCACAAATGTTGTGACAACGCTCAGAAACAAAAGTAATGAGCAGAGACACATCGGAGGAAGGGAATGGAGAGGTCCCAATGAAGAACGGTAGAAGTATAAAAAAGTATAAACGAAGAGATTTGCGAATGGGAGAAAATGGTTGGAAAAGGCTATAAAGTCAATGAGCATATATGTGGTACACATAAGTCATTTACACATCAACTACATACTTCAACATTGTAGACGCAGAGTCTGCCAATATAGTGCGAAGAATTCTCTTCTACTCTAGCCTGCTCCAAGCTCACTGACACTAAAAGCTCGAAAGCCTTATTTAGACAGGCGGGTAGGCATTTCTGGTATGCAGCCCGACCACTCAAGCCACCCCATGGAAATGAATTGCACATGGTTTTTAATGGAAATTGAAAACAGATAGAAGCAGGAAAGTTTAAGAGAAAGAGAAAGAGAAAGAGGTGAGAAGTCATCTCGCAGAATGCCGAACTAGGTCACGCCGCAGCCATCGCACGCGGCGGGTCAGCCCGCGATACTTGAAAGAAGTCGCAGTTGTCGGTGGGGTATACGATTTGCGCTTGGTCGGTGGCAGTCAGCCAAAGGGAAGATAACACGGACAAATGCAAATCATGCGCTCCACTGGACTTAATGGTACAGTAATGTGTTATCTCGAGACCTCAGTGGTTTGCGCCGCGCGCAAATTTTGCGGGGTGACCTACTTTCAACGGACGCGCGCAACGGACGTTCTCCGTAATAGAAAGGTGTAGCAGAGTGTATTGCAAGGATCCCGGAATAAGGTACACATGGTTCAATATTGGTTAAGAGTGAGTAGATCTTGGGCATTTCCAAAAAAATGATGATGATAGCAAGGAAAAGAAATAGATCTCTAATTATGCTCAAAGAGAGCTGTGAGGGAAGAGAGGAAGCAGCAGTATTGGAAGCAGAGATCTGAGAGTAGATCAAGCCTAACCGCTGATCGCTGATCCTTGGCTTGATTGTCACTCATCGTGAACATTCAAATATGCTATGCGACAGCTATTGACACATCACGTGTAAATAGTAATTTATGTAATCGCATGATACTGACAGTAGCATAGAAGTGATCTTCCTACCTGAACTTCTGTAAGATTCTGCAAGTCGATAAATATCTCCTGCATTTCCTGGATACTCTTCTCAAGTTCAACGATTTCGTTATGTCGTCGTTTAACGTCGGTTAATGCCGCCCTAGCGGACACCGAAAGTGGGTTGACTTCACGAAAGAATAACTGAAATTGATCTGTTCACTTGGTTCTACGTACTCACTACAGCTCTGATATCTATACGAAAAGGAAACGATTAATTAGTAGACTTCTGTCGCCCAGGCTTCGCAATAATTGAAATAAGGAGAAACGTCGTTACAATTTTCTCTAGTTGACAAGTCAGGGGATTCTCAGTCTCACATCGTTTTTTTACTAAAATAAGAAAGAAGTCGAAAAGTAAATCAAGGAGTTTTGGGACATTGGCGGCTTTGATGATGAGCCAACTCATGTTAGAAAACCTGACGGGACTGAATTATGTATTAACGAGGTCCTTGAAAATAATCATCCTCAGGAGAATACTGGGAGCAGTTTTTCCTGAACTCATGCTAGATTTAATGTCGTAGTAAATCGATACATTCTAGAAAACGGCCGCGTTATGAATTGTTTCCTACTACCCCATTGCTGAGGTGTTGAAACGTACGAAACGTGATAAAAGAGGAAAACAGAATCGAGAAGAATGAGTACTCCGTAGAACCTACGCCCATCCTAATCAATCACCACAATGTGCGATAAGTTATTTAGTTTTTTAGAACTAGGAGAGTAGAATAGTTTTGAGGTACCAATTGTCCTGCCCCTAGGAGAAACATTAAAGTTGAAAAGTTGAAATGAGTCGCTCAGAGTTGCTAGACTATCGATAACAACCGCTGTAGGAGGTAAGACAAATGAGTTGCCGACGTTCTTGGCATCCTTTCAACGTACTCCTTACCAGTGACTGTCATAGAATCGTTAAAATGGATCTCAGAGAATTCATAACGAAATGTAGGTTTGATCTTCTGGCTACCGTATTGCAAGAAGAGACTTCAATTAACAGTTTCTGACATTAAATAAAAGCATCTTTAAAGGGCAATTATACCCGTGCATATGTGTACCGGTTTTTTTCTACTTCAAAGGCGCACTTTACGAGAACTTTGAGGTGCCCCTTTTTATTCGAAAAGCGGAAGTATAGATTGGGAACAGTTCATCGGTAGTGAAGAAAGCGAGAGAATTCGTCGATTTCGAGAGAAATATGGCTCCTCAAAAGTAGGAAAAATAGAGGTTAGACGAGATTGTCATGACGGAAATAACATGGGATCGTATTCGGACGAGATTTCACTTACTGCAATTGCACAAAGAGCTGACTACACAAGCCAGAATTGTACAGAACTCTCTTCACTGTCTCTGCGGCTCATAAGATGTTTGAACATCCTACATGGTCCCCTTGTGATCGGTGCTGCCTCTACAGTGCCGGTGAGACTTGTCCGAGGATACACACGAGCCAATATTTGAGCCTTTATTACTCGCTAACTAAGCCGTTTTCAGACCTAATAGTGGCAGATATGTACGAAGGGGCCTCAATTTCATCATGTGGGAGAAACTCAGAAATCATTTTTATTGTAAGCTGTGCCTTAAGCGTTAGTGATACCTGCAATGGCGACTCAGGACTTTATTTTTGATTCAACAGCTGGTAAGGTAAATCCGTCTTCCAATTATTGCTCGCTACTTTTCATTTTCATCCGAATTTCGGAATGGTTATTTTGAAAACTTACCTCATCACGACCAGCCGAGTCAATGATCTTATCTGCCTCTTCTTCAGTGATGTTCTCACCGACCGCTCGCAATTGACGCCGTACTCGAACTAAATCTCTGCAGTATATAAATGATTCCTTTAACTTTTCAATCTTTCAAATAGTAAGCTTTGAAAGATTCAGAGAAATTGGTAGATTAGGAAGTGGAACATAAGTCACACTACAAAATAGGTAAAATTACACACTATAGGGGGGCGGAAAGTACCCGCTGAAAACTTCTCAGTAGCCCAGATTTTTTTTCAGAGTTTTTTGGAAGCTTCCGTGAAATTTCTGTGTGAGGACCGCACTTCTTTACGAACTTGAATTTGCCTTCTCCGCTGCTGAAGTTTATCGAAATTTGTGTCAAGTATTCAACCCTGATATCCATTCTGATCAGTTTGTGCGTCTGGTTTCAACGTTTCAAGACCGGAGACTAGAAGCTCGAAGATGAGCCTCGCCCCGGTCGACCTACTGCGATATCTCTGGATGAACAGAAAAAACTGTTGGAACAGCACCCATATGAAAGGGTGCGATGATATGCTGCCAGTCTTAGCCGTTGAAACACTACAGTGATCACCTCTAGCAAGTGCTCTCCCAAGGTCGCACCTTCAACTGGTTGGACATCATAGTTACTGGAGATGGGAAATGGATCCACTACATTTACCAAACCTGCCAGGTGTGATTGCAATGAAACGCCGAGAACATTCATAAAAGGTGGGATCCACGAGCAGGATTTCGTGCTCAGTTTCTTGTGAGGAGCTCGTGAAATCTACCACCTGAGTTATTGCCGGAGACACGACGTTTACTAACGAGGTCTACTGAACCCTTCCGCAAAGGTTGGCCGATACAAGGAGCATCATAAGCTAGACAAAAACCGCTTCTTGCAAAACGATCATGCGCGTCCACAAAAAAAAATCTCCAGGAAGTTCTGGAGCTCGAATGGCAAGTTCTGCCATACCTTCCATGCAGCGAACGACTACCACCTCTGCCGATGTCCACCAGCTGGAACAGAAGCGACAAGATGATCATGACCTTCTTGAGGATGATCTTTGAATTTATTTGCCTCTAAACCATCGTTCTCCACTAGAGGAATCCGTGGCCTTATGGAATATTAGAGGAATTCAGTTAATGTTTATTGAAATTATAATAAATTATATAATAAAATAAATAATAATTATATAATATAATAACCAATTATAATATAATATTGAAGAAGGTCCAAATGTTCTACTGTTCTGAGACTTGCCCATTTTTTGGCAGCTACTTTTCGCACACCCCCATAGTTTACTGTATAGTACTCACCTGAGACCCTCGATCGATAATCCGCATGAGTTTCATTGAAACGAACGATGACATCACGGAGTTTCTTCCTAATCAAATCGATCTGGTTTTTTCGAATTCGAACTTCTCCTTGTGATTCGCACACTGAATAAGATTTCTAACGTCCAAGGCTTTTGTTACCGTTTATGCTACAACGGGCGTTGCCCAGGTTAGTTACACTTGGAAGAACGATGTGGGTGAAATAAGAAAGCTTACCTCTGGCAAACTCGCTGAACTCGTTGTCGACCTCATTGACCATTTTACGTAAATCACACGTTTTCCGACGAATTTTGGAGATTTGATCTTCAAGTACATCCTAAAATTACCACTCATTATGTTATAAAGCCTAGGCAATTTAAAGAAGCCGACAGAGTTCGAAAGAGACTTCATCAAACCTTTTCAGAGGGGTCCGCTATGGCCAGCGATAGTATATGTTGCTGTTTTCGATGTAACGACTCGATTTCTGACTGAAGCTCATCGAGAACCTTTCGCAGAAAACTGAAAACCCCTTTTTGAGAAAAAGAAGCGAGACCTTATGCCTGGAACACAAGTGCAAACAACTGAACGTGCGGTCGCGTTGGGGCTACCTGCATGATTTAAAGGAAAGAGATCAAAAGTTGTGGCTGATCTTTCATTTAATTTTATACAGGCTGGTATGGATGCGAGTTTTGATTTTACAAATATATGTCCTGGAAGTGTTTTTTTCATATTCATCTACTTGATATATATCTAAGAGGGCAATATGAAAATAGCAAATAAGACAAAGGTAGCTAAGCTGCGTTTTGTTGTTAACAGGTACTAGATAAAACACTTGGCTCAATAAGTAATGAGCGAATTTGCAAACATCGGAGCTACCCATGAGGAAAACAGGTCTCCCATGAGAACTTACTTCCCATGCACACTTCACCGCTTTCGGTGTACCAATTTGCTGAATGCCAGTATTGAAGGTGAAAAGCATATAGTAATGCGCATCCTCGATATACACAGTCAGCTTTTTCTCTTAGAAGTCAAATAGTTAAAACGCTTACATAGCTGATTCTAAGGTTGTGCCCCGACCCACCCCCTTAGTGATACCCAACGTGTTCAGTAGGTAGTCGTAAACATCTCTATGCTCCTGTTTGAAAAGGCACAAAAATCTCTCGTAACAGCATGTTTTGGCCAGAAATCCATAAAACGAAAATAGACAGCTCTTACAGGCACAAAAAAAGGAGGAAAACTAAATATCGCTCACAAAACGTCCTTCTTTAGAAAACTATAAGCGTGGTCAACATTACGGTAACAGGCGCGCCTGAAGCCACACTCTTATCGTTCATAGTATTCAGACTTTTCTGAACATGAAAGGTTTTCTTGAAAAGAGAAAAGTCGAAAAGACTCTTTTTCAAACCAATTTCTTCCATTTTGTGGTTATTTGATACTAGTAGAATTGGGGGTATGGTGCAGTAGGAACGAAATTATCGCGTCGCGGCAAGAGGAACGCCGCGCGCGAAGGAAGGCGCGAGCAGCAGGTGAGACATACAGGAACAAAGGAACTAACACTAGAATCATGACTAAAATGAAGACCGCATATCGATTGATTGACTTTCGATATCACCAGTTTACTGGATGCCGCTTTCAAAGGTGGACAATTGTTAGCATATAGCAGGTACCGTAACTTTTCAGTTTAAAATCAGTTCAGTTGACACGAAACCTCTATCTATCCAAATCGGCATGCACTTTCAGGACACGCATGAATGAGCACAACTTCACTATGATTTTTACGATCTATTATCAAAGGGCAGCTGTAGCTGCTGCAGCACAAAGGGATGACTCAGCGGCAATCCGAGAGTGAACAGAAGTAAATTGTTGTATTGAACTAGCGATACTAGTAAACTATCTTGTAATTATTACATATTACACAGTATATACAGGATTCAGATGAGTAACATACATTATGCGTGAATCCAATGCGTTTGCTAACGGTACCGCTACACCATCTGGAGGTCCAAGTTCGACTTCCTCGAAACGATCTGTTACCACACGCCGCTGGAACAGATAACTGTATAGTAAAGTATGTGAGTAAATAGGAATTAATTTAATTAAGAAATGAGCTTTTCGCACAATATCCGGCCTAACAGCCCTTGCTAATCTTAACTTATGCAAAACAGGCCAGAAAAAAAACAAATAGCTTTGTGTTTACTTGTCAAAACATGAAAACAAGGAAACGATTTCGGAGTTCCGTCAACATACAACTCTCATCACACTTCGTAAACAAGTAGTCCGGTCCCATTGTCGAAAATATAACCAAATATAGCGGTATGAATAAATGAACACGTTAAAGATAAAGTAAGGGGTCCCCCCCCCTCACTGCGCAAATGTTTACTTATGTTCCATTGACATCCGAATGCGCTTACTTGGAAGTCGGCCAGTCGATCTCTCATCTGCGAATCGCCGCTGAAGTTACTTGTTACTTCTGGTAAAAGCTGACTGAAACGGTAGACTTTATGTAACACAAAAATCGTCAAAAACAGCAAATTTACTGAACACGGAGGCTGAGGATTTTAAAAATGATCGAAAGTTTGCTAATAGAATTTCTATGTAGAAACAGCTGCAGATCCATGTGTACACACATATATAGGGTAGATCTAGTTACAACGACATCTGTTCAATTTCTAGTCGATACTGTACTATCCATAGGAAGTAACCGCATGAGAACGGATAATTTTCAGCGAAAATAAAAACTAGTTTGACAGCAACAACGTCCTGACATGCAATTACCCAAATAGTCTGGCTATGAACTTTGAAAAACATCTAAAATTACGAGCAATTATTCGAGCCACGAAATGTAACGGTCAGGCTAAACAGGGCTAAACATGAGTAGCTAACTAGTAAATAAGTAAAGTATATATTTATTATATTTTTACAATTTGATATGGTGTATGTGTAAAGCAATACGGTGAAATGTTACTACTCCTTAACATCATTTACTAAATTGCTGCTTGATGTAAACCCCACCGAATTTCCTTATTGTAAAAAAAATGGTTACCTTAGCATGAAATGGAACAAAAAAGGTTATTAACTAGACAGTCTTGTATTGTAACTCAGTATAGCTATTTACTCTACTTCAAATCCGACACCCCTTTGCCCCATCTGAGGTGCTGCTTGTTGAAACCCACCGTCGGATTACTTTTCCACCTTCAAAAATCGGTTACACTTTCATGGAATGAGACAAAAAAAGTTTCTGAATTAAAAAGTTTCATATAGTAGTTCAGTATGGCTATTTTCAATTAAGTATAAATCAAATTATAGTGTAATAGAAAGCAAAGTTATGGGAAATCGTCATTGTCGAATGTAGTAAAGCAGGCAAAATAGTAAGCGCAACGCATCGTGTGAACCTGTTGAGAGAGTTCCCGTAAAATGGGAAGATCAGGGCCTTAATTGAAGGCTTACACAATTAGGAATAAAAAGTTAGCACCCCAAAGGAACATAGTTGATGAGACCGGTTCCATAATGTCTGAAGGTTTATTGTAATGAATTACTTCGAAGTAAAAAAAAGTCATGATTGGCATTCCCAGGCGGCAATCAGATGAGCGATGTGGGTGGGCGGCACGCAGGTGGGGTTGCTCGCCGGGGTTGACTCAGAAAAGCCTGCGCGTTTCGCAATACGCCAGTCATATGTCGGTATTTGTATGGCGATCAATACGGGCCAGGTGTGCGCTAAGGCATGGCATAGGCCTGTTTAGGTGCTCTGAATACTGCAGTTGTCATGAAAAAGTCTGGAATATACAAAATAAGTCATTACTAACACAGTAAATAGAGATGACAATAAGAGTACGGGAATCGTTTCGTTTTGATGAGTCATGCTCTGCATCGGTTCAGGCTCGAACGTTATCAGAACGGAAAAAGCAGTTGTACTAAGAGCACGAGGCCATTGATGGTAAAACTGTCGAGTCACCTGGCCGTCGCTAACAATTGATACCTCTGAAGTGGTCGATCTGAAGACAACATCACGCTGGGCACAGTGAGATTACCACGCAAAAACAAGTTCGTCGGTATGGGTCTGAACTAAAAGGCCCAAAGCCGATTAGCTCGTCAGAATCAACTAAAAAATACGTATGGCGATGTCGATCAAAATCATCGGATTATTCGATTCGGCTGAATAGCACGGTAATAGAATGAATAGGTTTTCTAGGATCATCCACTGGCAACCCGGACGAAAACTAGCTCAAGGCAAAGCCAAAAGGATTGTCTGTCTCGCCGTTTGCAGAAGGATCGTATATAATCGCTTTACACATTTTTCAATTATATCTTTTCGAGAGAGCAAAATTTATGGTACTAGCGGTTGCAAATAGTCATCGGAAACTTTACTGGGCAGTTCGATTGGAACCTATTTTGAAATTGCTTTGACTAAAATGCAGGTGAATCAGAAAGGCAAGCTGAAACAAATTCTCGGTTTGCACTTCAACTTACTCTATATTCAGTGATATGTGATATATTTATCAATTTATGTACGAGGGTTTCAACATCCACTTGATTGTTAAGCCTGAATTTTTGAGAGCGTAGTCTTCCTTCCTCAAATTGGTTTCCATAAAGCACCGATTTTTCCCACCAAAGTTTCGGCACGACAGAAAAGCTACTCCTCTCGTACTCAGGCAGCACATCAAAACGAATCGCTAATGGAGGGGAGACGGGCAGTAGGAATGGTTCTGTGTAATCGATCCGCCGCACGCGGCTGTCGCGGACCGTTTGCCTCGTTATTACAGTTCCAGCGTTCTTCATACAGCTGAATCGCTATGCGATTATTACTTATGGCATGATTCTACTGTCAGTTATTTTGTTCCTGAATTTCTAACTTACTGCTGCATTCTGCTACATTCAGTCGCGCGCGGCGTCTCTCTCGCCGCGACGCGACAATTTCGTTCCTACTGCACCACACCCACAAATGGAGTGGTAGCCTAAAAAGCAGGAGAGCACGCCTTCACAAAAGTGCCTGCCCCCAAGTTCAGCTGCAAACCACTTGCGAGAGTGCCGCTTAAGCAACCACAGAAAATTGGAAAACTGTTCAACCTGCTTTTTGATCACACCTGATTTTTGTACTGAAGACTACTGGAACGACTGCAAGGCTATCATTCACTTGCGTTTTATTAAATCTGCAAGACTGATTTTGAACGAACCCAGGCGTTCGAGATTCATTTTAATAAGGTATTACGTCGTAGAAGGACCATGAGTTAACGGCAAGCGACTTGAGAAGCCGGGGTTCAAGAAGACCGTTTTGTCGGAATTTAAAATCAAGTTTTCGTCGTTTTCAGGCTCATCTGGTGATTAACCTGACCACAAGAATTTTACAAGTCGATTGTCTATATACTCACTCCAAAGATGAAACCAGTTCTCCTCAAAGTCACGGGTTCAGTGAATATGATGGGTTTTGCGCCCAAGGTTGTACGCTGGAAATCGAGGGGTGCAATAGGCGTAAAAAGAAATATATTATACTTATACTATACTTAGTTTCCACTCTACCACGGCAAACGGTAGGCACTCGGAAATAGTTTTTTTCGGATAGAAACGATGTATTATTGACCATATTTATCTTAAAATATCTTTAAAGCGACATAAAACATCTTGAAAAGAAGTCCGTAATAAGTTTGCTACACCTTCGGTAGGCAACTCCAACGGAGGCAGCGACACACTAAAAGAATGGGACCATTTAGTGCTGCTGTATGCATGGACGGGTTCTAGAAGCCTCTTGATCTTGTTCACTGATCTGAACAAAGTTCTCAGGAAATGAAAACAACTTTGACTGGTGGTAGTTCGCAGTGAACGGGTTAGGGCCATGTGCGAACTGTAAAGTACATACATAGGAGAGGGTTATCAGTGATAGGGCCTGCTGCTTTTTATGAGTCCTTTGTATGTTTTTTAAGAAATAAGAATTATTTACAAGTACAAATACGGCTAAAGCAACTTTTTTCATCATCGTCGCAGAATAAGTATTAAAAGCAAACTTTAGTTCCTCTCAACAGCTGTACCAAGCAAACATAATGATAAAGTAAGGAATAAAGCCGTTGAGCCTTAACCGATTCCGTCCAAGGGATGCGCCCCGCATTCGACTCTCATTCAGAATCGTAGTGGCGTACCGAATGCGTGTGTGACCATTTAGTGGCTCGCGGTGACCAGCCGATGTACAAGCCAGTGCTCTTATCCTCCCAGCCGAGTCTGGGACCAACCAGCCGACCCCGGAGGCATGGACGGCTTGGTTTTCTTGGGCGGGCATCGATCCGGGATTTGAACTCTTCACCGTAGGTATGATATAGCTCACCACTTACCACTACACCACCTCTGCCCAACCATACAGATAATTGCATTTTCGCATGCTTTAATTTCTAGTACGAGGACGATTACATTTCCCCCGCTTTTTGTGGCCAGTTATCTTGGTCCTACAGATCACCCATGAAAGTCCTCGTGAAATCCTTGTCAAACTCTTCCATTTCTGAAATTGAATTCAGAATTGAACCGTAATCCAAACTGCAGTTTACGCCTGATGCTTTTAAAGCAGTACTGGCCCTAGCCCACAAATATTTTTTTCATAAAACGTAGTACGTCATTGTCATTTTGCAAAAACTTATCAACGTTCCCTGAATACATTTGTGCTCTTCTTGCACCCAGAGAAAGGGTAGGCTCTGATCACTAGGGGGAGCTGATGACTAGTTTACGCTGGGTGACTTTAAAAGGCTTGTTTGGATTTTTGCAAACAAACCAACGTTGTTCAATGAAATCGATTATTTATTAATTAAATGGCTGAGATTTCAACCAAGCAGCTTCTGTCAAAAGTTTAACTTAGCCTATGATCTAATAGGTGCTTTCCTCTCCTGTGTTCAAGACAATGCCATTATAAAAAAACAATTTAAATGAAATGAGTGAAACTGACTGATTTGTTCATTATCTAGAGAGAGAAGCGATCCACCTTTGATATTTTTTACTAGAAAGAAATTATTAAACAAAATTACATTCACAGTTGAATGATGGCTGTACTCATAACAAGTTTCTTCTATAATTATTGTTGTTAGAAGGAGAGGGAATAAAAAGCAAAACGTCTTCTTGAGGTTTAAAGAAGATAGTCTTAGGATTATTGAGTCAGGTTATTTGTCTTCCGCTCAATAACTTAAGGCTCACATACTTGAAAGCGCCTCATTAAATCCATGGTCCATGTTCCAGTATCCCCCGAAAAAGAGTATATATCGCTTCATATGTTGTAATCCGATATCATCTTTTACCCAACGTCCGCATTCATTCGAGGGCAGGACTGAAGTAGAACGATAAAGCTCTAAATTCAAAATCGTTTGAATGCTTATTCGGCCCATATGTATCATAACTTGTGGGAGCAGGGGAACAGCGCTTTCATGTTCCAAAGGAGTTGAATACGAGTTAACAGCACTGGAGTGTTGTAGGGTGTGGAAGGGCACTACATATAGAGGCAGTTAAAACCTAAAATCTTCTTGGTTACTGTGATCATTTTACAAGGAAAACAACAAGAATAAACCAATATATTATTACAACCCAGAGAAATAAATAATAAATAGTTATAAATAAAAATGGCATATAATGCATTCAGGTGTAAGTTAGAATCCCGATTATGAACACAAACAAAAGACTAAAAATAAAAAGACCATTCCTATGTTAAGGTTAAAGCAAGAGAGAAGTTGGAAACAAACAAAAGATATCTTGCAGTAACCCGCACACAGTATTGTGCGTATGCGACAGCCAACAACACTAGAAGTACTACCCTCGTCTCGAATAGTAGTACTTGTACTCTTCGAATTGAATATATTCCGCCTAGATGTTGGGGTATGTACCTAGGCGGTTGCTAAGTAAACATCGCTATTTCCAAGGAGACAACGCACTCCACAGTTGACAGCGCCACCTGGAGTTCACCGTAGAACCACAGATAACAACGGGATGTGTCATAAGAGAAATGAATGGAAGGAGGCTGTCTCAGAGACGACAGCAAAATCAGCGAAAAGTTCAATGGCGTCACCGAAATATTCCAGAAATAAGTATTGCAGCATGATTGGCAGAGCCAGACAACACATTAGTCAGACTCGATGGCGCAATTCGATTGCTTCAGGTGGTTGATTGTTCGGCTACTTTAATCGAAGGACTCGTTTTGATCTGCATAGTTCTTAGGCTTACTCTACTTTCTGGAAGTTAAATAAGATCATCAAAGAGAGATGTATGTATAGTAATAGCATTTCAGCACGGTAGGGATTCTGCTCTTCCGCGTTTTTGATGAGCATAAGGAGTGTTGTAGACAGACATGATGTCCCACATTTAGTGAAGGATGGTCCATCAGCAAAAATTTTTTGAATATTGAGCTCCAACGAACTATTTGAAAAGTATGAAAAAGTAATGGAATAGTGTGAGGTGTGTATGTATGTTGCATGTACACATAACTAGTAAACAGACCTCTGACAGGGCCTTTTTTTCCTAGTTTTGCCTAATTTGTGATGTTTGTCAAGGAAACAGAAACCTTGACATGAATCTCAAAGGATCTTCTAAGTTCAACAAAAGCTCATTGCTTAGAAAGCATCAGAATACGTCTGTGATATTCAACCTGAGGTATTCCCTACATCTACCCCTGAACCATTCGAATACTAAAAGGTCGCCCTAAGTCCCTCTCGAGTTGTGAGGGATTGAGAAAAGAGTAAAGTTTGAGGTTGATGGAAAGAGAGGTTGATGGAAAGAAAAGGCAGACGAAAGGGGTCAAAATGAAGAAACGACAATGAGTAAAGTTACCGAGACAGTAGAGCGCACGGCAGTACAGGGAGTGTGGTGCAATAGGAACGAAACTGTCGCGTCGCGGCGAGAGAGAGGTCGCGCGCGCAGTTATGTAGCAGAATATAGCAGCAAGTAAGAAATATGGGAACAAAAAACTAACCATAGAGTCATGCTAATAGTAATAATCGCATAGCGAGTGAGTTGTATGAAGAAAGCTAGAACCGTTATTACGAGGCAAATGGCCCGCGACAGCCGCTTGCGGCGAATCGATCAAACAAAACCGTTCTTACTGACGGTCTCCCCACTATAAGGGCACATTGACAACGACCAACTTACATACTGTCTATTACTATTAACTACAGCTGCTCGAAATCCAGCATCGGAAATGTCATATAATACACGATATAACATAAGTATGTCAAACAATTTATTGTAAAATACGCTATGATATTCTGCCAATTGTCTAGTATCGTTTCTATTTGTAAACAAGATACTTGAAGGAACAAAATGTACGTTGGAACAAAGGGAATGCCTTGAAACTCAGAAGAATAGTAATAAGAGGGAGAGCAGAGGAAGTCTGACAGCTCATTCTCCTAGCGCATCCAAAGAATTAACAGCACACGAGTTTCTCCATTTTCGGATGTGGTACTTACTTTTTGCTGTTTTATTCCAAATTAATCACCTACATACATAACTTGTGCAAATGACTGATTATTATTTCGAGGGGTGACCACATTAACTAGTTCTAGGTACACCAGTAACAAGAATAGTAGATGGGAATTCATGCATGAGCATGAGGTAGTAATTGAAAGGTGGTTCAGATGTGTTGCAAAGTGTTTGCGCTCATCACTCGTCGCTACTGCTGCCGACGTGACGGAGCCGACGATGTTTGCCGTTTTGCCGCCGACACCAACCTTTTACTCATTTATTGACAATGAATGGGAGCCAAACTTTGAACAATGTCGAAGAATTGGGGATGCATTCATGTAGGAAATCCCCCGGTTCTAAGAAAATCGAGCAAACCTTGTTGAATGAGTGAAAACAAGTTTAACATTGAACAGACAGATTTTCGAGAAAATTTCAAGGAAAAATATGAAGTTATGAGCCGGGTTACAAGTTGGAGTATTAAAGTTTAGGATGGATATTCTTAAAAATAACTGTTTTATACAGAGCTTTGATTGCTCCTGTTAACCTCAAAATCGTAACTGCTTTTTTAAAGCATTGAGATGAAACCCTTAAAGGCGGGTTGGCTCCGAAGATCAATTTCAGCATCAGTGCAGAAGAACTTCTACCAGATAAACCTTTCATGTCTCAACTGGTTATGTTTATTTCGGAATGACACTCTCAAGGGAAAAAAAAGCTAGGGCCTCTCAAGGAAAAAAAACAGGGCGCGCCGAGGTTACCTTGAATTCAAGAAATGGAGTAGCTCCACCCACAATTGAGAATAGCCCGCCTCTCCAATCAGAGGGATAAGAACGATGCCAATCAAGTTAAGTTCAGGAGCCTACAAGCTTCTGGTTCCAACTAATAAATAGGAAACTAGATGCCATTTTCAATTGTCGCATTATTCATACAGTGAATCATCGATATATTTATGCCCGCATGTTCATAATCAAAATTATTAGGCCTGCTCTTATATGGATGCTCGAAAAGACCAACACATTACTTTTAACCTTCGTAAGTGAACGTAAACTCTAAAATCAGAAACAGGGCCAGACATGGACAACGAACGATAATGGGATGCTGGAACGACATAACTGTGAGGAATTCATCAGTATCAAAGGTGAATGTGAAAATGATCAAAGGTAATTCGATACATGGGATATAAGGTGACAGAAAAAAAACACGCGAGGACGTTTTTCAGAGTGAGAGTGAAGCCTTAAAATTTCTTTGGAAGTTAATCCATCCCGTAAGAGCTTCATTTGAACTTGTAAAAGGTGCAAGCACGATTCAAATAGTCGTATACACACATTCTCAAGAAAAGATGCTGCCTTTTTTGAAACCATTGCTACAAGAGCTCACTATGAATTCCGGGACTTCTGAATCGAGTAGACACTCCAGAATGGCATAAAAATAAACTTCGACAGCCTTACTACTATAAGCTGCTGTGAGGTTATCCCTTACCTATTTTTTTATGAATATAAAGGTTATCTACTTCAAATGTTTGCTCACTTCGCCATTACTCAACCGCTCGAAGTGCTACCGACGTCAGCAATTTCAATGAATACTTATTCCAATGTTCCTCCCATTGCCCCTATATAGCAGCTTAGAGTCTTTGTTCAAAAATGGTTTTTGTGATCTCTCCACAGGATGAAGCAGTGGCCTCCAATTACGAGGGGCAATGCAGTAGGAACGAAATTGTCGCGTCCGGCGAGAGAAACGCCGCGCGCGAAGGAATGGAACACACTGCACCAGCAAGTAAGAAATACAGGAACAAAAGAGCTCACAGTAGAATCATGCCAAAAGTGATAATCGCATAGCGATTGAGCTTTATGAAGAACGCTAGAACTGTTGTAACGAGGCAAATGGTCCGCGACAGCCGCGTGCGGTGGCTCGATTACACGAAACCGTTCCTATTGCCCGTCTCCCGGGGCATTATCACTTTGAACAACGACCGACGTATGCACCCAAAAGTGGCCGTGTCATGACGACCACGTCGTCTGATGATGAGCCCCACCCTTCACAGTGATGCGTTAAGACGACAAATAGTACGGTTATGGGGGAGACCCTCAGACAACCGCAGACGCGACGCACTTATACAGAAGTGGCAGAAGTGGCAATCATACGTCTCCTTCTTCAACTTCTTTTTCAGAGAAACAGTTTTTCTATGCCATGAACTACGCCGTCAGTACTATGGATGCACACAGGGGAAGACAGTTTTTGCGATTTTCTACTACCTTTTTGAAACCTTCTATTTTTTCTAATCCGCCAACTTCTGCGCTTTCTTTGCCACTGAGCATTACATACATCCCAGTACCACACGGCTGAGTGCTCCTACACTAAACCTGGGCGCAAGCTCCCTTCAGGCTCACTGTTTCGTGACGTATTACCTATTCTGTGCTCTCACCCGAGCGTCAGCAGGTATTCTCAAATGGGTACCTCTAATACATTTATGGTCTGAGGATATCGCCCGATATCCGCATGAGCCAGTAAGCCCTCAGTCTTTCTGGTATGGTTAAAATGGTATCAGGTTGTACAGAGAGAATAAAAGAGAATAAAGTGAGAAAGAAGTAGAACTGTGATTTGTACAAGTGAAAGTGAATAGCCGAAACTCTGTGGACCTTCTGAAGGATCAACTGCTCCTCTCTGTTAGGTCTCAATTTGGAAACAGCTTTTGGACCTTCCAGCATTATGGAGCCCCGACTACGGTGCAGCAGTGGTGTAAGGAAAACTTCCCCGACGTTATCGCGTTTAGCGAGTGGCCGGCTTGCTCTCCGGACCTAAATCCCATGGACTACAGTGTGTGGGCCGTTCTGGAGGCAGAGGCTTGCTCGAAACCTCATCGCTCTGTGGATTCGCTAGAAAAAGCTCTTGAGAAGACATGGGGCAAGCTCAGCGTGCGATACTTGCGTGCCACCGTTGATGCTTTCCCTGAGCGTCTCAAGGCTTTCGTCGAGGCCAACGGGGGACTTTTCGAAACCCATCGAATATTTTGAATTTTGAAGTGAACAATAAACGTTGTTGCATTGGAAGTTCGCTAAAATTGTAGACGAGTCGTCCGAGGCGATTCAAATGACGCACCCTGTACATCGACGAAATTATTGCTTTCACCTTCTCAGGTTTTGTGAATATCCAAAAGCACTCTGAGTTTTTCATGGATGGATGAATGTTCGAAGTCAAAGTGGGTAAAATGAAAAATGTAGGCATCCTGCACAAGCATTCATTTCCTAGAGCACGCTATGAGCTGAAGCACTTCCACATTGGTACCACTAGAAGTTATAAATTATAGTCGCTTCGAAAAATTCAACTTACTGATTTAATCTAAATTCAAACAATTAAAACATTCTTAAACAACCAAAAGGTTCAATGACCATATCTTAGATTAGTTGTGTCGTCGGGATTTCTAAGGATCAGTTGTGATCTTATTTAAGAGCTCGAGTTGGCCTCCTTTGGTGATAGCCAGACATGAGGAGCAAGAGGGACGGAACATTCACCCAATTCTGGATGGACGCAGCAGACTGTGTCTGAAGTTCGTGGTGATCTAAACGACCCTGGCACCTACCATTGGGGCACAAAGTTGAAGAAGGGTAGGTAAGCAGCATCAGCTGGCCTTACTTATCCAATCTACTTGAAACCCGTGCACCAGTGATAGGCGCCAAAGTCGTTTCAATCACCACGAATTTCGCCGCTTCCATCCAGAGTTGGGTGAATGTACCCACCCATAACCAAGGAGCAACCGCTATCAAAAGGTCTCTGCACAAGTAACTACTTGTACATGATGTGGCAAGAAAGGAACCAATGAGGTTACTGTAGAGAAGGCACCATAGTGATGGCTGGTGCCTTTGTACATACCACTGAAAAGAAGTCCAGAGTCTTACTTAGTGGGCCCTTACTGGACCAAATCTGTCCGTCTAACGACCGTCCCCCCACCCCCTTCCCCTCCCAAGCAAGCCGCCGTGCTTGCACTTACGTTCACCCACTACAAAGGCGCTCTGGTCGTCTGCGCTCTGACTGCGCTTCAAGTCAAACTTAATATTTATGTAATTGTTACAGTGTACTAAGCCATAACTCAAAAAGATTAAAATGTGATTTCAACGCAAAATTTAGGTGAATACTGGAATGATTTGTGACTTTTTGCGTATGATCACAAAACAAAAGGAAACTACTCCGCAAAAATATTATCCCAGAATATAGGGTAACTAAGGTTCTCCCTATTTTCTTTCCATCAGCTCGATGTACTTTTGACAAAACACTGAGATTATAGCTTGAAAAATCAATACTTGCGTTTAATTAATGTCCTAGTCGGATTTTTCTTGTCAAGAAGAATTCGCCACAGTAACGCGCTCTACTGAGAATGGCGCGAACGGAGAAAATTTGTATTTACAAACAGTAGCAACTGCTTTCATTCGAAGGCTGTGTACAGGTTTAAAAACCCTTAATATGACATGGGACATTCAGGAGTAACGGGGGTGGTGCAGCTTCATCGGTCAAAGTCGCCGTCTTCAATGGGAACCCTGAGAACCTTGACCAATTAGCCATGTAACAACGGTGAGCAGGTAACTTTCCAATGTCATTGAGTAGCATAGGAGTTATCCACTGTCTTCTGTAATTCAAATCGGACCCATTTATTAACTCCTGTCTAGTTTTGTTCCCTCATATTAAAATTATCTATTCAGATCATGCTCGGAGGGGGGACGGATAATTCGTGCGATTAGAGCTGCGCGCGGCGAAATCCATAGCCATTTTAGCGACTTCGGCGCTCATTATTAGAGCCCAAATTTGATGTAGAGTAGATTAGTAGTATTAGCTGACCTACTGATCTGTTTTACTCCGAGTTTGTACTCCAATACTAGGGGCCAGAGTCGTTCCAATCGTCATGAATTTCGCCGCGCAATTTGTCGCGCGCAGCTCGAATCGCACAAATGTACCCATACCCTGCTCGGAAAGATGCTCCTATTCTTTATCCAGCATGTGTGGGTGGTAAAACCGAGAAAAAGTGATAAATCGACACCTTATTGGAAATAGCCGTAGTGAGCAAGTGGATCAGGCTGCTTAGTTACAGTGAGATACACTGACCCTGGTGAATACAACTGCCTGTCTCCCAGAGGTAAGCATGGAAACGGATCTGGTGGAATGAGGGCCAGCTATCCCTCATTCTTCAGCAAGATAAATTTCTCCCATGCTACCCATGCTCCCTTGCCAATTATACTAACAAACAACTATTTCCCCTAATCTCTGCTTAACAGGAGATTCGACTGGAAGGGGATGTCTGATGGGCTTTTCAGAAAATGATATCCTCATATGGTAGCAGCGGAAAACAGTCCTCGAACTCGAACAGCCCATCAATCTCATATGAGTTTTGTAACTACTTCAAAAGTCCTACCCATGTCATTTCTTATTGTTTCTCAGGTTCACCATGAATACCATGCCATAGTCCACTACTTAAATCCCTTGTAGAAGAACCTGACAAGTAGTGGCAACGACTCTTTATTTCTACTTTTTTATTTTAGATGTCGGCAGGCTAAACAAAGTGGCAGCACATTCTCTACTGTTACCATTTCAACCTGATAATGTCAGCTATGCTGGTCAATCATTTTGAGTCTCTCAGATGGCACCGGGAAGTCGAATGGTCACCCCTTCCCATGTGAGTCAATCGATAACATTACTTTCCTCTACCTATCTTACACCTAACTGTTGGTCTCAAAAACGCCAATTCCAGATATTCTGACTTCATTCATTCAGATGTTTACGGCAAAAGACCAAAAAGTAAAGTAAGTAGAAGACAAAAAAGTTTTGACAATGCCATGCTGAAAATTACCCAAACTCATTCCATAGCTCAACTCAAAACCACATATAGAAGACAACAAAAACCTGGCAAATAATTTAAGTGTCATACTTGAATACCTAGAACAACAACAACAACAGTATTATGAATTACCAGTAAACTTATTAATCCTTCCATTCTATGTCCAAAACCCTCTGCAGAAAGCTGTACATGTCAACAATTTCAGCAATCTAAAAAAATATTTTTGATATTTTCATGGTAATGGGTTTTTTCCGAAAAGATCCTTTCAAGATACAACTCACCACTTTCGCGGTAGGCTTTCCAGCTCCGTGCCCTGCTTTCACCTCGACACGAACCAGAAGTGGGTTTGTCTGGGGCTCGTGAAGTTTGGCCTAAAACACTACCTTACTAGTATCACTAACAGCATTCGAAAACTATTCAGATTTTCGAACCCTCAATCTAATTCAACGCACATAAGAGATACATCGCTACTTAAAAGCACAGTTGACGATACAATTGTCTTCTGAAATATCCTTATAGGATAAATTTGTGGCCAACTCGTATCCCATACATGGCGCTTTTGAACCGATAAACGGCTTACGGCTTATATAGGACGAGCTCCAACGAGCTCCAACGATATTTTAGAAGCTGCTTCATTCCCATGTATTAGGGGAGTTCAAACAACTTGTCATAAATCTTGGCGACAGTGGAAGGCAGTTCTGGACGGTTTTCGGCTTCATGAAGCCACCTCTTTGCGCAATTGCAGCAACTAAAATCTCGTCCGAATACCCCTTCCACGCCATTTCCGTCTGGTAACTACTGTCGACCCCTACTGTGACTACTTTCAGGAGGTCTTTTTTCTTGAAAAGTCGGCAGATTATCTTTTGTGGAACGTAGTACTTTAGTGAATGTTGCCCCTCTCCTGGTGCTCAATGACACGACTCACACGATTGCTACTATCGGAGCCCACTTTCTTAGCCCAACCTACAGTATCATCAATAATCAGAGATGGATAGAAATAATGGCCAACCTTTTCGTACAAAGTAGCCGCATATTTCAACGTATGACTTGGTACAACACGATCGTCATGATCGGCAGTCATCAACAAAGTTGAGGGCCATTGTCTTCCTTCGGGAAACTTGATATTATGAAGAGGTGAATACCTTAAAAAATACTCTATTGCTGAAGCATTAATCACTTTACAAAGAAGTATTGAAGGATACGTGACAATATCAAATTATTATAGTGTTTTTAGCCATCTTGCTATACGAACGCCTTCGGAATTGGTACGCTCAAAACTCAGTTCACCATGAGGGTGGTCATCTGGTTTCAGTAGTGGTTAGAGATGAGGTTTCTTGTTACCAGACAGTAAATGAGTAACCCATTCACTTTCGACATCACTACTAACAGTGGAGAACCAACGAAGTTTCAAAAGGCTCGAAATAAATCTACAAAAAGAAATCAAGTGAAATCTGGTATTCGATATTGTCAGTAGCTTTCCGCCAGGTAGTGGTCTGACTCAGTCGTCAAGTTGAATCTGTTTCCAAAGCAGCACACAAAAAAACTACTCCAAAAGTTTAAAAGCTGCCGGACTCCAAAGGAAACAGCTTATACGAATACTGCGCGGATGTTTATACAATCCCAACATAGGTAAGGCTGAAACTTCGCTGGTAAGCTATCGCTTGCCTCAAGAGCAATCGAACTGGCCAAAATTTAATGGATTACTGCATTTTCCATAGATATAGGGCTAAAAAGCGTATATGCAACCAATAGACCTACTTGGAGATGAAGTGGAAGTCCTTTTCCACATCAGGGTTACCGAATTCTGGAACCCACGCTCCACCGACTGTGAATTTGTGGAAGCGAAGCATGTCCATAACACTGGAAAGCGATCTTTGATAAGTGTAGTGAAATTCGTAGAGTGCATAACAATCGAAAGTAAATCAGCTTTGGGGAATCAGAGTGGCTGCTTTCATAGTCCACGATTTAGCCCGCGACCCGTCGCGCGATCGGTCGCGGGCTAAATCGTGGACTATGAAAGCAGCCAGTGATTGATGAAAGCCGAAGAGCAAGTCGCATTGCATGGTTTCCGACTGTGTAACGTCAAGGAAGAACACAACGAGCGATGGCGTTCAAGCCTTCAGGGGCATGAACTATGATACTCACCCCACACGATTTAGCACGGCTCCATAGAGCTCGGGACGTTGCTGAGAGCATGCTGCAACAAGTAATCCACCGTTGGAACCGCCATGTATAGCCAGCCTGTGAAGGATTAATGTTCAATGATGGTATTACCCTCATGTCTAGCTCTTCAATAAAAATTATCAAAACCACTAACAACTAAATTCGTATGTTTTACCTTTTACAGTTCGTGTATTTGTTTTTGATGAGATACTCGGCTGCGGCAATGAAATCATCAAAGACGTTCTGCTTCTTTTCTCTCATGCCACCCATGTGCCAAGCCTCGCCATATTCGCTAGAAACCAAGTTGTCACATATCGTTCGGAAAACCAGAACAAATACGAAAACTTTCAAATTCTACTTCAGCAAGATCTTCAGAAGAAAAAAATACAGAAGGTGCCCGCTTCAACCCAAAGATTGTTTCTCTTTCTGAATCAGCTCCGCCCTATGCTGCTTTCATAGTCCACGATTTGGCGAGCGAGCAACCGATCGCTCGGCGGCACCCATGGCTAGCGCCGCCTCCTCGACTGATCGCGCGACTGGTCGCTCAGTCGCTCGCTCACCAAATCGTGGACTATGAAAGCAGCCCTTCTAAAACCAATCCTTCAGGTCAACCATAAAGTTGCCTTTCTGCGTTATGAAATCGGTTCTTCACCAGGAACAGATGAAGTAGCTCCAACGTTTTCAAAATTTTTTGTGAAGGACACCATAATATTTTGGTGCGAATAAGAACTATTAATAATTGCACACAGAAAAATATGTCGAAGTTTGGCTTAATCACGATGAAAAATAGCCACTAACCTCCCACCACGAAGATTTGCGCAAGCAATAATACCTCTGAAATGTTTCACTACCAGAAGACGACTAACAGAAAAGTACGGCATGTCAGAAACATTGAAACCTGAATAAGAGAACCATTATTCAGATAAAACCAAATCATATTTGAAAGATGAGGGATAGCAAACCTCCATAGCCATTGAGAATTGTGGGGGTATTACCAGTCTTTTGCGCTCCTTTCAAGGAAATAATGTACATGGGAACCTAAAAGGCTAATATACTTCGAGTTTATGCACGTGTCTACAACTGACGAACCTTGGTCTTGTCCTTGCTTTCATAAAATACTTGCTGTACAGTAAAGTCGTTCTCGTCCATTCCAGGCACACGAACTCGCCGCAGTTCCTGTAAAAACATTAAACGGCATGCAGAATAAAAACCTAGGAGCCAATTTGTTACACGAAGAAAGTTAATAAATTTGTGGTCATTTTACTGCCTGACTATAAAGGCAATAAGAAAACCACAGATTCAGGTTATAGGGTGGAAGCATCGACTCCTCTTATAAGAAGCATTTAAGTTCTAACTGAATGAGAGGGACCTTCAATTGTTCTGAGGGACAGGTTTGGGGCGTGGAGCAGTAGGAACGAAATGGTCGAGTACTAGCAGAATGCAGCAGCAAGTAAGAAGTTCATGAACAAAAGAACCAACAGTAGAATCATGCCATGAGTAGTAATCGCATAGATTGAGCTTTGTGAAGAAAGCTAGAACTGTTATATCGAGGCAAATGATCCGCGACAGCCGCGTGCGGCGGATCGATTGCGGAAAACCTTTCCTACTGCCCGTCTCCCACAGGTCTGGAACCAGGTTTAGTTGTGATTAAAAAAAGATTTACAGATCTGCCCGCTTTACCCGGATGAACCAAGCGGACCAAGGACATAGTATATTGTAACATTTTCAAGAATTCGTCGTAAGCAAAGTGAAAAACGAACCTGCACTTGTGGCGCTGTCTTTTTGTCGACGGATGCGAAATCAATCCTATAGATAATGGTGGGGACCGTGAAAGACTCAAAGGAGAAGAACATTTCACTAAGTATTTTCTTACCGAAAAACCCGGAAATTGACCTAAACACAGGAATATTAAGCCAATGTATGGCAAGTGCGCTGAAATTGCCATGGTCTTTCCTTACCCGACTTTCAATGGTATAGAGTATAATCGTGAACCTGTACTGAGATCGTGAACATACAAGGCGTCCTTAAACGAGAGCATTCGAACACATTACATGGAAACAACTGTCACATTAAGTATTTACCTTAACATCTTCAATGTAAGAAAGAACAAGGCGATCACCGGCAACTGGTGTAGCCCAATCCAACTTATGCCGAGGGTTTTCAGGTACAACTTCCTTGATTGATCTGTCTTTTAGTGACACTCTGATCAACTTGAACATTGGAGCATTGTGATTCGTGTGGATCAACATAGAATCATCGTCATGATCCACATACTGAAAGGTTTTCTTGAATCTAGCCTGAAGTACAACTGCCCGAATGACTAAAGGTGGATTCAAACATGTCTACTGATCATGAACTAACTGTACTTAACGACCAAGCTATTCGGGCAACGTATACTGGTAGAATTTAGCTTCAGTACACACTTTGGGGACTGGATTCAAGAGATGTGTGAATATTGTCACGATCACTACAAACACGACAGCTAACGTGCAGCTATAGTGCAGCTGAACCTACCATTATGCCATCACACAAGCTAATCTCTTGGTCCATCTCCCGTTCAAAACTACAAACCTCATATTTAGCATCCAGTTTATCGAACAGAGGTGTAGGATTGATTTTCCCAATCGGGCCTTTCATAGTGGAGAGATCGTAGTAGTAGAGCATATTGAAGGGATCACATCCACGAGAAACATCGACGATTAAGTAGCGGCCATCTTCTGTTACCGTACCTCCACTGTAATTACGTGTCACAGAAGTATAAATCGCTTGGGATGAGAACAATGGAAACCTACATCATGAAGCTTCCACACTCTCTGCGATCATACACAAGAACGTCCTCCTTGCAATCAGTGCCCATACGATGGAAGAAGAGAGAGTGGTTTTCGTGCTTTTCCACTGATGTGCCATCGATAGCGCTCTGTAACGGGATGGTGTTTGAGAAATTATAAATACTTCCTGAGTGAAAAAGTGCACCTTATGATCAGGGTATTTGCAGTAGAATAATCCTGACTTGTCATTCATCCATGAAAGAGAAGAATGTTTCACTCCTGTGATAGTGTCCTTCAGATCTTTCTTATCCGCACCACGAAACTGAAGTTTGGTTCAGGAATATGAATGGCTTGAGATAAAAAGAGGAAATCCGAAGCAGTGTTCCAATGAAGCAGTGTCCCAATAAAGTTCATTATTAGTCCTTTATACTAGTAACAAGCGAAGTCTCACCTAAGCTTTTTTTGTTGAGTAAAATTCTCCGAAATCAATTGAAGTCAGCGATTACGCATGTCACCTACTGTAACAGCGGGAAAGCAAATGCCAATAAGGATGCACCCTTATCATATCCATGTCTCGGGTAATTACCAATTGGGCCCAAGAACCGATCTTGTTGTCCAACTTCAGTAATTGTCAAGGTAGTTCTGTCGGGTGTGCAAAAATTTGTGCATTCGCTCCTAATTAAGCTCTCCTCGCACCTAGGCGCGAAGTGATCTCAATTAGGCGCGAAAACTCCGTGGTAATCACCCTGCCTGCAGTTTGTTACTGACCGAGATAATCTTATCAACTATCAGCACAGTTAGAACCCCCAGGTTGACAGGCCGGCTGATGGAGAAATCCAGCCACAATAATAATGTCTAAAGTCTCAAAAGGAATCAGTGATAGAGCTAGGACGTCACCCGAAAGCGAAGAAGCTTAATCAGGTGTACCGCACACTCATTCCCACATCCTAGTTCTATCTTGGTGTAGAACAGGAATCCGCTCACCTTGACTGTCACCCAGTCGCTGCCTTTTTCACTCAGACCGTATGCGAGAATCGAACCATCTTTTGTCCAAGCTGAGATTCTAAATCATCGTTTAAAGAATATATGACACTGTCGTCGATCCCCTACGCGAACTTTGTAAAAGTTTCATGAACGTCTACAACACCCAACGCTATTATGTTAGGACATGGAAGCACTCCACGCCTTGGTCTAATTATCAAAACAAAAAAGTCCTCAATGATAGAGTTTGATGGAGTAATCTACTCAAGAGTTTGATGAAGTAATCTACTCATGCGGCTCTCCCAGATTTTGCATTCAAAGTAGATAGAAATTGCAATCCACAAGTAACCTTACCTGAGAAATGTAGTCCCATCAGCTGAGAGCGTGTTCGGATCCAAAAAGACTTCACCCTTTTCATGCACATTCTTCTGTTGGTAAATTACACTGAAAGATGATTAGTTAGAAAGACACATCAGTACTGCAGCTATTTCATGAAAAACCCTACTATTGGTTCTGAAGTCCTGAGTTGTAGCTGTAATAGTAGAAATTGCCACGCTTTGAAGGACAGCTGTACTTCTCGTAATCCCATAGCTCAGTCAACCTGGCAGGGACATCTTTGATAGAGGAAAAGAGAGAGCCAGCCTAACCATGATTTGATCCAGTTTACGCAATTTCACCAACCGATTTCTGATCTTTTCCCGGCTGGGAGCTTGAGCGATAAACGGCTCCGAAATTGCATTTAGCTGATCGACGAAGTGACGCGTCTCTTCTGAATCAGGATCCTCCATCCAGCGGTAAGGATCATGAATCTGAAAATCAAGTCTTCGCGGTAGGAAGCGGTGGTTCTTACAAAAATTCATAAATCGATTACATCAGAGCTGTATGTCAGATTCTTCAAGGATCGAGCTCGAATCAAAAGTTTAAGACTGTTCAGAACGCTCTTTGTTATGATGCATGCGTCAGTGTGTGTTGCTCAACAAAAGCAAAATGTGGTGAGTCAAAGTTGAAAACAAATGAGCCGGGTAGACACAGCCCGACAAATCTTAATACAAATCTTAATTAACACCCAAACAGGCCAAACTCACCATAGTCCCATGGAAGTTGTCCACAATCGACTCGTCACGGCGTGCAGTTGGATAAACAGAAGGAGGTATTTGAATCGACGACGAAAACCTCATTTTATGTCGGACCGATGAGCGATGTTCTACCTAAAAGTTTGGATTATGTATGGTACTTGTGGAAAATTAAACCGAAAGATATTATCCAATTTGTCTAAATGTCTCCATAATGCTCCCACAAATTGCGTGAAAAGTTTAACGTAACCCAGGAAACACAAGCAAGAACGGCACTATGCAAATCAGAAGTTAGTAGTAAAGTAGTTACTGCTGCAAATGTTTCCACTCTTCCTTTTTGTAGAAAAGTCTGATCATCCCTACTGACTTACATCATACCCTGACACTCTAAATTATCAGCATAATACTGCACTCTGCAAAATGTTCGTGCTTGAACAGAAGGTAAGGTTAGGATTGGTGAAAGGTTCAAGTGTAACACAGATGAAAGGGAAAGTTTTGTGAGCTCAAGCACAACAAGAGAAACACTGGGTATCAAACAGTTCGCGATCTTTGGAGCCGTATTGTAGAAAGGCAAACAGCTTCAATTCAACACTGCACGATAGTAAGGCGGCGTTCATACTTCGCGATATGCAACGGGTGATAGGCGATCAGCGCTTCAGCGACGCACAAACCAGGCGTGAGGCGATCGTTACCGCAGGTGCTTGCTGTGCTTAAGCCTTTTCCGTTGTTTGTGACTTCAACTTTGGCCGATCTATGGGGGATCTATCTGTGAGTAATGAGAACTATCGTTCATATCGATCACGTTAAGCTAACAGCCTTCTACAACTTTCTAGGAAATGGTATCTTCACTCTCTATGTTTGCTCTAACCCCTCTAAAATGGGCATGGGCTTCAAATTTTGCTCAACACTCTATTGCATCGATATCTCAAGCCTGTATCATTCAGTTCGCTGGAGGGAAACCTTGCAGCCAATACAATGTCGATTCAGGAGACAAAATGGGAAATGTGCGATTACCTTATTATTATTACTGCTATTATTCTAGAGCCAACTGGCAGTTTCCGTAAGTATATATAGTCAGCAAAAAAACTTACGAACGACGAAGCGAGGTTTAAAAACGAGAGCATGACTCGACGCGACGTCGCGACTCAGACACTGAAGCTTTACACGTATCCATTATAAAAAGGCATTTACAAAATACAACACAATTTGAAAAAATGTGGTCAAAACGTGTCCACAACTTATTCGACTCGCAAGACGAGCATGCAGCATTCCACATTAACAGAGGTTATCTCAGAGCTGATCTAACAACACAAATAGATACACTGAGCGGCACGACGCGAGTAATCAATGTCGACCACGAAAAAGAGAAACCGACACTGCCCATTTTTCACCGAACCAACCGAAACGGTATTGAAGGCGACGTTACAAGGCCGGCCGAACTAACCCTTACTCTCGATATAGGAAATCAGAAATCGTTTACAGAAATCAGAATCGTTTCAATCAGAAATCAGACTAACGTCGGGGAAACGGCCGAAGATTCACCATACAGCATAAATCACTAGTCAAAATACCCCAACAATGCGCCCCTTTGTATTCGCCTATAGAAGAACAGTTGGCGAATGTGGGAAACGGTGACGGTAAGGGCGCTACAGAGTAATCGGTGAAAATGTATTTAGGTGGGGGCCACCTATCACAATGTTAGTATGACAAGGAATGAACTCAGTGAAACGTGTTATGCCCTGTTACATCAGGGACATGCCAGTTGTTAACTAAGTATAAGGAACACTGCGATGTTCAAGTTTTCTTTCTTTTTTTTCTTTCTCTTCGCTCGAAATAATCATCCCACCCAACCAGGTGCTCCTACCCTACCCCGGCTTATTTGAAAAACTACATTTCCTAGGCTAAAACTGCTAAAAGAGCACAGACGGCCGGTGCCCATCATCCCCTTCACTTCTGATCGAGTGTCAATAAAACAAGGATTAACACGTTAGACTGAGTTCATTTCTTGATAAACTGGCCTTCGGATGGGTGGCCCCCAGGTACACTTTCACCGAGTAATCTAACAATAACACGAAGGAATGATTACCCCGATTGGAATGGTACGCAGCTGTGCAAAGAAGTTTATATTCTGATATCCCAACCGAAAAGGTGTTAGATTTCCATCAGTTCCCGGATGCCACTAACGAACGTCTACAGACCTAAACTTTAGCAGAAATGAAGATAGACCCACAACAAAATGAAAAATCTGTAAAGCTTTTCCGGCTATTAAATCTCAAAAGCGATCTTCTCAACAGTTGCAACTGTTTGACTGAACCTCTTCTTTGGGCTGATTGCAACCGATAATATGGTGTACATCCACTGCAATTTACCATCTAAATTTTGGAACAGAAAAAGTTGACAAATGACAAAAACACAGCAATGCTGTAAAGGAGAAATAAGGTAAACTTGTGCACATGCAGAGATTACATAAAAAGTAAATCATGCAACCTGGGAAGTTTGACGTTAAACCATGCATTGTTTGAACAAGAAATATAGTATGAACCTTAGCTGAACAACCGAAAAGTAGACGTTTCTCAATAGACAGCAACGTCGACGAAATAAAACGATTTCCAGAGTAAAGCATTCCTTAAGTGGTATCGCTATCATGGAACAATATCACCAGATCAGCTGCGGTTCACACGAGAGGAACCGAAAATGGGGGTTGTATACAAGGTATTGCAGCATTAATATAGCGTAATTAATAATGAAGGTACCAAAAAAGGTATATTCACTCCTTCAAAACCGACTGCAGTAGGAAATTAGGGCCATGTAGTCCAAACACTTCACGTTTGTAGTTCTTTGTGACATCCCTCTTTATTAGAGGGATTTTAAAGTCCCGTGTACATATGGTACAGAAACCCCCTTATAGCACCACCCCCCCCCCCCCCCCC